TGTATTACGATTCGTATCGGACGTGGATGTGCCCGTGCGTTGCAACGGTAAAAAATAATACCACTAAGTGTGAATTACTCGGTCACATACCTGCGCTATTGCGTCAGCGTGCTCGTCCTATCCATGCACCACTCGAACAATGTTTTTCCATTGAAAAACCTTAACACAAGAGATTATCTGTAAACACATGCCTGGCTTGGTAAGAATTTTAACACAATACACACGACGTCCAGTAGGGTAGGAGGGTACAAGGCGAGGAGGCTTGGCAGTGGCACGGGTGCAGGACTTCGTCGGACTTCTGGCGCAGTTCGACTCGGACTTCTGACTCAAAACATGGCTCATAGACCGGGTGTTATACAAATAGACGTGATTTGGTATCACCGGATAGATGATTACTTTAAAGTCTTTTTAGGTGTAGAGATAGAGATAGAGACTAGAAACATACCTCACATGTTGATGCTTGGATGGCAAATGAATTTTAGTGGATGATGGGTATACTGACATAGACATTTGGAGATAGAATTCTTGTGGATACACAGATACTAATGGAAGACAAAATCTTGTTCTAATAAAATTTAATAAGAAAACAAAGAGGTGGTTGTGTGCAAACCGTGTGTGTACTGTTTACGTACGTACCAACCACGTGTGGCCTCACATGCATGTTTTCCAGCCGCCATAGTAGGAGCAGCGTTCATGCGTGCATGTTCTATCTATTCTACGGAGACTCTGTAGTCAAGTCTCTTATCTTAGTCTAGAATACACATGTACGCATGTAATACTATAATAGTACTAATAAAGTCCAACTTTGCTTTGTACACACTGAATTAATTGGTGGCTTGCCAGAGAAGAGGGATTATAGAATTATTACTAGTATTGACGAAGGAGGAAGAGTACGTGTGCCCTATCATCGGATGTAGCGTCGCTCTTCTGCCTCCTTGCCTCCTGCTCGAGATTGATGAGTCGATCGAGGCATGCATGGAAGTCCTCCAAAATTGAAGTCTGAAGACATGTATTGACCGCAAGTGCTCAAGCATGCAAATGGTCTACTCCGTAGGTATAGGTTATTAGTTGTAGTTGGCAACCTCGCTTGCTAGCTAGTTCAAGGCTTCAAGCTATTGAATTCGTATAATGTGAAACATTGGACGTACGATCCAGCATATCTAGTCGGAGTGACGATCTATGCATGTGTGTGCAAGGGGATGACTTCAAAACTAGCATAAAGTACTCTAAGCTTAGTCGTCTGCAGTGTTCTTACAAAGCAAATTTCCTTTGATGCACGTGTCCTAAAACTTTAAGCGTCGGATGACTCAGAGATACTCCCTCCATACTAAAAAATGAAGTCATTTTGGACAGTCATTTTGGACAGCGATACGGTCTCCAAAGCATAACTTTGACTACTTATTTTTATAAAGATATTTATCAAAAAGTGATATATGTAAATTTTTGTAAAAGTATTTTTCAAGACAAATCTATACATATGGTTTTCACATTTCCAAACTCAACAACTTAAAAGTTATTTATAATTTATATTCCCAATGTTTGACCCAAGCCTTGTCCAAAACGACTTTATTTTTGAGTATGGCGGGAGTATTATTCACAGCAATGCTATTTCTTAGGGAGTGGCTAGCGTCCGGACACTAGCCGTCGTCCTGATGCCCGCGCCGCTGCCCCCGTCTTGCGCCTGCCCGCACATGTCTCGCCTGTTACTCCCACCTGCAAGCACGTGGGGCTCGCGCCATGCTAGTGGGGACCGCCTCCACCTACGCTCGCTTTCCGTACCTGACACCAAGGCGAGACAGCAGAAAGGCGAGGAGGGAGATGCAACACCTGATCTAGTTTTGAAATACCCAGATGCAACAATTGCAACATACACCTCAAAATAAATGAAACATTTGAAACATGCATCTGAAACATATGCAAAAACACCTGAAAAACACTTAAAACCATTGTAAACATACGCAACATCCAGATAAAACACTTGCATCATATGTGTGAAAACATAACATCAACATACGTCGGAAAAAATCAATGAAACATTGAGAACAGGAGCTTGCAACATACGTGTACAACCATTGCAACATATGCAACATCTCGATCTACTTTTGCAACAACCGGTACGAAACACTTGCAACATGTCTCTGAAACATCTGAAACAATTGAAACATACTCTTGCAACATATGCTTGCGAAGCAACATCTCCTTGTTGCGCCATGTGGAGAGCGAAGCTGACGTTGTGTGGTGTTCACAGTAGTGCCGTGTGGAGAGAGAAGCTGATGGCGGCGTCCAGCGCCGCGTGCTCCGAGAAGGCGTGGTGGCCGCACTTGTATGCGACCACCCACATGCTGTTGAGCGTGCATCCCTGCGCCGCCTAGTAGAGCGGCCACGACACCAGGCGGAGCACGCCGCCGGCGAGGAGTGACCGGATCGCCACCAGCGCCACGTAGAGAAGTGCGGCGACGGCGGAGAGATCGCGTAGGAGGTAGGACAAGGACCTGAGCGCGGAGCACAAGAAGCAGTGCGGCAGGATGACTCGCCTGATGTCGGCGCTCAGAGATGGCAGGCGAGCGGATAAGAGCGATGAAGAGAAACTAGTGGATAGGAATGAGTGGATGAGCATTTTTTTTAGAAACGAAAGAGCGTGGGTAGTTGGGCTCGCGTGCGGGCCACCAACGGAGCGTCCGGCGGACAGACGCACGCTTCAGAGAATTACCGTATTTCTTAGCTCTATCTGTTGGTTGATTAGGACCATTGGGCTTTGGGATCACCTAATAAAAAGAATGCAATTATGGTTCTAACTTTAGTCAAACTATATAAAGTAGGATCAAGTTTATGAAAAAATATTAAACTTCATGACACCAGTTAGGTGTATTATAAAAATATTCCGCAACTAAATTAAATGACACTTATTTGGTATATAAATACTGATATGTTTTGTATAAATTTAGTTAAACTCAAGACAATTTGACTCGGTACTTTTCAAAAATTGCATTCTTTTTCGAATGGAGGGGGAATAAGTAGAATAATTGATTTGGTCATTTTTTGTCTTATCTTACTAATTACTTATTGGAGGATCTTTTTGAGTCTCCAAGTTAATTCACATAAATTATACTTAAAAAAGATAAATCTTAGAAATTCTCAAGAAATATAATTATGGATGTATATAATTTTGTAAAAAGCTACCTAACTCTGTCTTTAAAGAAAAAAAGTTTTTTTGGGTAGTCGTTATAAAGGAAAAACTTTTGGTCTCGCCATCATCTCACAAGACGCGATGTAGTTTATTCTGACAAACCCGTGGAAAAGGTGGACAGGAAGCATATGTTTGGCCACTGAAGTGCTTTTCTTATTAAAAGCATTTGTTTTGGCTCATGCTAATACTCCCTCTAGTTAAATAATTGTTGTTGTTTTCGGTAATGAATATAGTCTCCAAAACATAGCTTGGACTATGATTTTATTATTATTGTTTGTAAAAACCAATAAATACATAATTTTATTAACTACCTTTTCAGACTAATTTGCACATATCTTCACTCTAAATAAGTACTTTAAGAATCATTGATAGCCAAGTTCTAAGACCTTGGCCTTGTCCAAACGACAAGCATTATGTAACTCGAGGAGCAATTTTTCAAGGGAGGAGCAAGAACAAGACATATACAAACTGAGTGTAGATCGGTTGGTTAGATCACATTTCTTGTAGTACTAGGGTCTAGGTCCTTGAGATTTGGCATGTGTGTTCGTATTTCCTGAATTTATTCTAAGATATAATGACTATTTTTTATATGTAGGTGACGTGTATGTCGAAGATGAGACATTTATGGTGACTTTGCTGATCTCGAGTCTCTCATAGAGGCAAGGGAGACAAATGCAGTGTTGACCGGAAAACAACCATTTTTTGTAAAGTTAAAATTTGACACATAAGAGTATTATTAATAGACGATTTGTGCTCACACCGCATATGTCATTGACACATAAGTTAAAATATATATTGTTGAATTTTGTATATGATAATTTTTGTATATGATATAGTTTTGCTACTATATCATATACAAAAAATCAACAATATATATTTTTACTAAAATATTTCTAAACTAATCTATACATGTTGCCTTTGTGTCTTCAAACTAATATCTTCAGAAGTCATTGATAGTCAAAGTTCCAAAGTTTGATTTCATGTGGATGTTTGTCCATCCATAACGTGTGGATGTGTTGCAAGAGCTGTACAGTCGTTGTAGACTTGTAGGACTACATGATATTGGTTCTTCAGTTCAGTCTTTGATATGGCACGTTCCTATCTGTCTTTTCTCTGCAAGAGCACAGTTCAGCACAATTCTCGGTTCTTCAGTTCAGCTTGGGAGATAGAGTACAGTAAAGATGTGTGATTGCTCAGAAGATCGATGTGTGCTATGTTGGCTAGCCTGTATATTCTCTCTCTTTTTTCATTCCTTTCAAAACTTCAACTTTGTACAGGTTCTCGACAGTACTATATATACCTATCTCGAGAAGAAGAAGAAAAATGTCTCCTCTATTAAAGATATACTCCCTCCGTCCAAAAAAAGAAGATAAATCTCATTTCACAAAAAGTCAATCTTAAATTTGTCTTGGTTTATAGAAGATATTATCTACACTTAGATCTCTAATCTCGTTTATTATGAAAATACATCTCATGTCTAATGATATGCACCATAAACATTAATAGTTTTTTTATATATTTGGTCGAAGGATCTTTGACTCTTTGAAAAGCGAGATTTCCATTTTTTTTTGGGCATGGAGTACGATAAAGAAAATTAAATTAAATTCCTGTACATACATTTCTTGGTGATGGATGGATTGACTACCATTATTTGCCGGCAGCATAATCTTGACTGACGAACAAGACACTAAATGAGCTAGTTAGTACGTACATGAATTAACCATATGTCGGTCCGCAAGAATAGCAATGCCGAAAGAAAGTCTCTGTCTTGTACCATCCTCCATGCATCGCATACCATTACTGGCGGCAACGACTAGAGGTACCTGGAGAGCAAGTAGGCGCTGACGCAGGGCGACCCGCTCCAGACGCCGGAGTGCAGCCTGAGCACGGCGCGGGCCGCCTCCTTGACGGCGGCGTCGCAGTCGGCCTGCAGCACGCAGCAGAGCTTCCCGACGGCGCCGACGCGCGCCATCTCCCGCACCACCTCGGGGGAGGCCGCCCGGCCGCCCACGGCGGCCAGCACGCGCACGGCGCAGGCGTCGGCGGCCGCGGACACGTGCAGTAGCCGCCGCGCCACCACGGCGACGCCCGCCGGGTGCGCCGCCACGGCCGCGCGCCCGTCCGCGCACGCGCACAGCTCCGCCAGCAGCGCCATGGCCAGCTCCGTCACCCTCCTACTGACGCCGCCCGCGTGGGCGGGCGCGGATGAGGACGGCGGCGCGTCGAGCTCCAGCTGGATAGCCTCGTGCGCGGCGCCGGCGTCCACGACCAGCGCGCGGTTCCGGCCCAGCGTGCACGCGTGCAGGAGCACCCGCAGCGCGGACCGCGTCGCGCCGGGGGACACCCTGTCGCGCACCACCGCCGTGACGGCGCGGAAGAGCGCCGGCTGCAGCCGCTCCAGCACCGCGGAGCCGGCCGCCTCCGTCACGGAGTCCAGTAGCCGGACCGCGCTCGCCCTCGCCGTGTCGGTGTCGCCGCCGCCGGTGCCGGCAGGCTGCTCGAGGGCCAGCAGCACGTCCGAAACCGCGTCGAGGAGGTCGTGCACGTGGCTATCGGCGACGACCAGCGGCCGGAGCTCGTTGCCGGAGACGGCGAGCGCGCGGACGAGATCAAGTCCGGCCTCGATGGTGCGTGTGATCTCTAAGCTGCTCCTTCCCTGGTGTCCGGGATCGGCGATCTTGATGACCTCGCTGGCGCTCGACACGGTGAGGCGGAGCACGCGCTGGAGCACACCGGCGTCCACCATGTGCCGCTGCGCCGCGTCGTTCTCGGACGCAACCTCCGCGGCCTCGCGGAGCACGTCGACGGGCGGAGAAGCAGCCGTGCACAGCAGCTTCTTGACGACGACGTCGGCGGCGGCGACCTCCGGCTGCCGCTGCTGCTCTACTGCGTCGTCCGCCAGCAGCTTAGCCTCACCCGCCTCCGGCGCCGGCGCCGGCGTGGAGGTGGAGGAAGGCAGGTGCCAGGACTGGATGAGCCTCCGGAGCGTGTGGTTCGGGGTGAGTTCGGCGAGGGCGAGCGGCTGGCCGGTGACCGGGCAGGTGGCGTGGCCGGCGGCGAGCCAGCTCTCGATGGCGCCGCGGTCGTAGGTGATGCCGGTGGGCGCCGTGACGGGGTCCTGCATGGGCTGCAGCGAGATGGGGCACATCAGGTGGTGACGCATGCCGGTCACGTCCAACATTGTTTTTCACCTGGAATGGGAACGTGACTTGTACTAACTGAAACGCATAAAGGAGCTCGATCGAGGCCCAATGCTGCTTGCTCTCTCTATATATAGGTGGAGGGGTACATTAGTGATGGTGATGCATATCAGGTTTTGGGTTTTGACCGTTATGAAAACAAGAACAGGGGTAGCCCTGCCGCAACATTTTCAGTCAAACGATTTTGAATGATTGAACTGTGCATGGGAAAATAAATACCGATAGCCTGCCGAAATAGTTGTAGTCAAGTGAGCTTTCGTGAAAACGATTTTCCATCGGCTTCACATTGGAAAACTGAAACAAATTTAACAGGCTGGACAAAAGTATTTGTTCAAATTCCTTTCAGAAGAGATTTGTTCAATTGACAATAATGCTTCGACTTTCTTGGGCTGGCACACACCGGATCCTAGTACATTTTTCGATTTCACAAGGATTATAGAAATCAGCCAATCCAAACGGCTGATATTCTGATGTAGATTATAGAATTCACCGTCGAGATTCTTATAATCCCATTGTCTCTCCGCGTGGTACTATTTTGAGATTATTGACACGACCAACCACCGAGATCTACAGCTATTTATAATCTTCTACCAAATGTCCTCGTGAGTTGGAACGCAACATACAGCTTATGGCGACCCGGAAGATTTGTGGCGTGGAGATTTATTTAGTGATCGTATCATCTGTTTTAATATTTTTGAAATCAAACTCCCTATCATTGTTGAATGTGTTTCTAACTCGTGTATAAGCATGAGTCATGAGTCTGGGTCACGTACGGGATAGTGAGTTTTCGTTCCGTCGCTAGATGCATCATGTAGGGACAGTGAATTTCTATCCCATTGCTAGACACGCCTTGGAGTAAGATTCTATACCGTCTCCAGACACATGCTATTCTTACTCGCACGTGCATGGGCATGAACCCAAATCATGGACAGGACTAAGAGGGACGCGAGAGTATTGTGATGAGAAATAAAAAAGACAAACGAAAGAATCACTTCGCTCTTTAATGTTAGCTAGGCATAGAAATATTAAGTACAAATATAGATAACCCAGACCTATAGCCACTATCCGGATTCTTAAAACCCATATGAGATCCATACAAATCGTAGTCACTAGATGAAGCTGCCCTGCCATCGACCGCGTAGGCATGGTCGTGGCTGGAGGTGACGGCCGCATGTGTAAGGCTGAGGGAGTGCGCGGCTAGGGCGCATCTCCGGCGAGTGGTGCAGCCACCATTGTACGTGGAGGACGGGGCGAGGCAGGGTGAGCCGACAGCGACAGTGTGGCGCCAGTGGCGTCACGTGGGGATGAAGAATGCGGAAAGATGATGAGTGGGACCTATGTGTCAGCAAGTGGACAAAGAGAGTAGCCTGATGATTTGGGTCCCCACCACGTCCACGTGTGAGCCAAAGTAGTCCGTCGATGTATAAAGTGGCATATTTCAGGTTTCTGAATGAATTATAATTACACTAGCCTTGTTACGTGAGAAATTAGTGATGCTTATCGGAAAAGTCAATTTTTTTAAAAGAGAAATATTTCATTAATGATACCGTTCTAATTAACCTAAAATTAAAGCCAACTGATGGGGCACAAACTACTACTACTACAATTTATATGCAAGCCATACATGCGTCTGTGATGCATCAAACACATGCAGATTTTCGAAATCCATTTGTGTCCACACAAACGAACAGTGCACATCCTCCATTCGTGCAAGATTACTGCGACGGCCGTACGTATAACACCTGAGGCCTTCTACAACGCTCCACGCTGTATATATGCTATCGAAGAGTGCACTGTGGGGTAAAAGCAGATTCCTAGAGCCACTTTTGAACTGACAAAGCTGATGGACTGAAGCAAAAGCCTCAGGAGTGTTCGGGCGACGATAAAACCGCTGTCGTCGATTTACATGGCTGATTTTTTTTAGAAAAAAATACTATATTATGGTCAGCAAATAAGCTGGCCGAAACAACCCGCCGAACACTCCCAAGAGAGAATGGGAAGCAAATTTGTCTACTGTAGCCTGCGGTGGAGAGACAGTGGTTCCCGTGCTCCGTGCCGACGTGTGAACGCACCTTTCTCTTCAGGCTAACATCCATATACGCCAGCGTTGGTGGTGCCCTGATGTGACCCCTCTCACTGTCAGACGATCCGGAGGTCGCTCGCTTCAGGTGGTGTTTAGATGAGGCGTAAAGTATGCGCTATCACGTCAGATATTACGGATATGGTATAGGGGTTTAGTTATTAATAAAAAAATAAATTACAAAATCCGTCGGTACATCGCAAGACGAATTTATTTACGCCTAATTAATTCATCATTAGCGCATATGTTACCGTAGTGTTTTATTGTCAAATCATGGACTAATTAGGCTTAAAAGATTCTCTCGTAAAGTAGCCGTAATTTGTACAATTAATTATTATTTTAGTCTATATTTAATACTCTATGCATGTGTCTAAACATTCGATGTGATAAAGTGGGCTCATATTGACAACATTCTTCTATCCGGCTTCATGCCTGCAACTGCAAGCAGAGATGGATGAATTGGTTTCTCCAAATCCTCTTGTCAAAATCGTGACGTGAACACATTGAAGAAACGACGACGACGCGAACTGGCTGGCTGGCTTCTCCTAATGAATAGTGTGCCGTGTGCGCGTTCTTTGACCGGCACAGCCACAGCTGGGCTGGGCGCAATACTTTGACCAACAGACGTCTGGTTGGTTGACCGGAGGCGGGGGCCGTTCGCATCGCAGGTCTCTCTGCCGTGTGCCACCGGTGCCGTGCGTAGGCCTGGGCGGAAGACCGCAGGCCTAGCGCTAGCGGTCGTTGCTGGACTCGGACGCCTTTTGTTCGCGCGTGTTTAGTTTCCATCAAATTCTCAAAAAAACGTTATAGTACTCATCATATCAAATCTTGCGATATGTGTATGGGACATTAAACGTAGACGAAAAAAACTAATTATACAGTTTGGTTGAAAATTACGAGACGAACGTTTTAAGCCTAATTAATCCATAATTAAACACTAATTACCAAATAAAAACAAAAGTGCTACCGTAGCCCAAAATCTCAAATTTCACCGACTAAACACGCATACATCCGGCCGGCCCAAGCACGCTAAGGGAGGTGGGCGTACTGGACTTCATTCAGTGCCTCACTGCACTCTGCGGCGCCTACGTCCACATGGAGGCTTCGTGTCGACCATGTTGCCCGCCCAACCGCTGCTCCAATATTTCAGAAAAGAATTTGATGGCAGGGTGAAACAAAAAAAAATGAAAAAATTAGGCCAATTTCTTTGTTAACATGGCCATTCCTGTTCTCATGTCTGCCTTCATACTAACTCCGTACCAACAAAATAAAATTATCACTTTTTGATGAGTTAATCAACTTTAATTTTGACCAAATTATCGGTTACTGCAGACGGCTCCATACATCCTTCACCTCCCAGCTATGACGTAGGAAATAAACAAACTGGTTGCTAGTGTCCTTTGTGAAGCTGGCAATTAATTCAAACATCCGTCGTCTTGACTGTTTTCACTGCCAGGTCATGGAGTAAATTAAAGGGTTGGCTGGCTGGTGTGGCCGATGGCTGGATGATATACAGATTAAAGATGGCAACGGAGAACTCCCCGTCGGGTATCGCCTTCCCATCCCCGTCACCGTGGGGGAAGATTTTCCCCGTCTCCGTCCCAGTCAAAGGTCGCGGGGGACGTCATCTCCCCACCCCCGTACCCAAGCGGGGAATCCATCCTCGACAGGTCCCTGTCCCCGCTATATAAGTTGGGGAAAAAATTTACCCAGATCACCAATCTAGAAAAAAGAAATGTTTATGAAAGTGCATCTAGCCCTTTAGTAGGTTTTGGATGATTGAATGCCAACGCGATTAAAGGTCTAACCCGTTTGCTAAGTGTGGAAAGAAAATAGGTTATTTCACATGTACTTAATGAAAGCCAAAATGATGTGTTGTTGCGTAAACAATCTAGTTCAAGCACAAGACAACAATACAAATGAAATTCATGCAAATGCTTATTTATTGTGGGATTTTCATGTACTATGTGAAAGCAAGCTCGGTAAAAATTAAGTAATGAGACATGAGGGATTGCATATGGAATGGTCTCATATTTGAAGCTTGCTAAATTGAAATGAAAAAGATAACAATACAAATGAATGGATGATTCAACATAAGATGTGACTTGATGGCTTGAGATGGTGAAGATAGCAAGGAAAGGCTTCGAGGTACTAAGCAAGGCTAAAGGGCAAGCGACGGCTTGGCGGTCGAAGAACATAGCTAGGGTGAAGAAGAAAGTACTTACATTTAGTTGAGGTACTAATCAAGCTATGATGGTCATATTGATGTGGAGGATCAAATCACTATTGGAGTGTTTGATGGAAGTGACTTGATACATTTGTGATTATTCATATTTGATGAATGGAATCAAGTCACGTGCTCAAGATGGCTATGCTCAAGTAAAAAGATCAATATCAACATGTTGGCACCCTCACTTGATGAACATTGAAAGACACGACATCAATTCAAAAGAGATCAACTCAAACGGTATAAATTCATTTTTCCTTTGATCTTGAGTTTAATAGGTATGCCATACTATTAAAAGGGATGCATCATGTTGATAGATAATTATTCATAAGTGCTCATACCAACCCATGTGAGTTTTGAATGTTTGAGAGACAAAAGAGCTAACTTGTTTTTTGCTGGTCTTTCAATACCAGACCGGACATGTCCGGTATTTGCCCAGCCACGGTAAAATTCTTGTTGTTCTCGGGTTGATTCATCGGGAGTTTCGATGTGAGTCGAGAGTTCCGGCAATCGTCGGGAGTTCCACGTCTCAACACTTAGCTGACTTGGAGAGTTGATTGCCTGGTCACACCGGATGTGTCCGGTATAGTAGGACAGAGCCCAACGGCTAGTTTTCAAACGAGCCGAGGGTCGGGAGTTCCGACGGTCGAGAGTTTCGGCAATCGTCGGGAGTT